TTTTTTTTTGTGCGTGCATGCCTAATTGCTCAGTTATGCATAGGTAGCTCACATTATTCGCACCGATGATCATAAAAATATTAAGTATCGATTGTAGGCTGCACATTTTGAGTCACGATCGCAACCGCAGTTGGTTTTTGCGTAATTGATATGCCAAATTCTATGCAGGTATTGCTCAGGTAATGTGCAATTTGTGGAATGTTTGGTTCCCAGTCATGCGCAGCATTTGTGGCCCATCGCAAATAGATCGAAGCTGATATTCCACTCTTCCATTATATTGTAGATGCGCTGCTGCTCAAGTGTCCGCTGCATCAGCTGCAGTTGCAAAAGATTGTCGGATTCCGTCCGCCCCTGGAATACCTCAGCGAACGGAATTTGATTTACGCCCCGCCGACTGCCAGCAATTTCAAGGATCGGGATCGACGCAGCGGCGACTATGGACTGGGCGAGCGTGTGCTGGACGAGCAGCCCGCCAGCCAGCTGTGCTGGCGCAGCTGCAACGAGGATCCCGACTGCATTGCCTATGTGCACCTGCTGGACACCGACGAGTGCTACGGCTACTCGTACTTTGAGCGCAGCTCACGCTACTTGCCCATCGGGCACGACCTGCCCTTGGTGGCCGATGGCGAGGCCATGTTCTACGAAAAGACTTGCCTGCGGGGTTCGTATTGCTGCTGTTCGGGCTCGGGCTGGGCGTGCTCGCCGCCCACCCTGATGGTTTCTATTCTCATTCTCTTTTGTTGCAGTGCCCGAGGCATGCAAAGGTCGCCTCTGGTCGCTCACCAAAATTCCAGGGAACAGTCTGGTGTTCCATGGCAAAAAGACCATTTCCACGCTGGTCACGCGCCGTGAGTGCGCCGAGAGATGTTTCTTTGAAACGCAATTCAAATGCCTCTCCGCCTCGTTCGCCCCATCGTATCGGAACAATCGTGAGCGGTAATTGACAGTTTGTAGCTGTTTCTGCCTAAATTAATTGCCATTGTTATGCATTTTTAATGCGAAAGCGTTTCCATTGGATTATGATATCACTGTGTGAAGTCATAAATCATCGCCTCATACATTTGTAGCTCATCAGCTGTAACGCTTCTCTGTCCTCTGTCCGCCCACAGGTTTCGCAGCGAGGAGCGCTCGTCACGGCCCCACGCCACTCTGGGTCGCTGCACGCTGAGTGACAAGGACAAGTCCATACAGCCGGATGCCTTCCGGGCGGCGCCCTATGACGAGGAGTACATGGAAAACCAGTGCTACGAGCGAGCGATTGAGAACGACAACTGCTCCTATGAGCTGTATGCCAACAGCAGTTTCATCTACGCGGAATCCAAATATTTGGGCCTAACCCAAAAAGAGGTGCGCCCCGTTTGTAGCGCTCGAGCTGACGCGCCCCATGATTCGAATCGATTGGCTGATTGATTGATGACCTTTTTGGTATTACAGTGTCAGGCGCTTTGTACACATGAGTCCAAGTTCCACTGCCAGGGCATATCCTTCTACTATCTCAATCAGCTCACCCGCTCCGAGTGCCTGCTGCACTCCGAGGACATCGTATCCCTGGGCCCGCGTAGCCTTAAGCTGCGCGACAACTCCGTTTACATGCGACGCGTCAAATGCCTGGATGGTGAGCATCACTTTAATGGAAATTGCTCTAAATGCACCTTTCATTATTACCTCTCTCTCTCCCTGGCACACAGTGCAGGTGTTTTGCACACGCGATGAGATGAACGTTCGCTACAAGCCGAAGGACTGGTTCACGGGTCGAATGTACGCCAGCATGCACTCCAAGGACTGCCAGGCGAGCGGCACAGGCAACGAGAGCTTGGTGCTCCGCCTCGATATCGGCAGCGAGGCCAAGGAGAATCGCTGCGGCATTCTGCGCGCCTACGAGATGACCCACTCCTACCACAGGTAAGCCACATTGATATCCAGCTAAACACAAACTGCAGCCCATCCCTTGCAGAACCTTCATATCCGCATTGGTCGTCATACAGAATAATGCGAATGTGCAAACCCAGGGCGATCGGCTCATCAAGGTCGGCTGCATCCTGAACAACGCCACGAACGCAATTGGTCAGATGGTGCGGGATAGCAATGCAGATGCCTCGGAGCAGGTGCCCAGTGCCATTGCGCTGGAGTCCTCGCTGGAATATGCAGAGCAGTATGCAAATCCCTGATGTGGCAACTTGAACTCTAATACGAATCTCCCACAGCATGTTTCCACAGGAGGGCGTGGTGCACTACAACAGCAACACGGGTCCCCACCCGCATCCGCAGATCACACTCCAAATAGTGGATCTCTCGCAGCAGCACGAAATAAGCGACGTACAAATTGGCCAGAACTTGGAGCTCCAGATTGTAGCCGAATACAGTAAGGAGCAGCTGGGCGAGCACCTCGAGCTGCAGCTGGCGCCGCTGCCCGACTTCCGAGCCACATCGCTGGTGGCCAAGTCGCTGGACAACCAGAACTATGTGCTGCTCATAGACGAGCGCGGCTGTCCCACAGATGCCAGCGTCTTTCCGGCTCTGGAGCGTGTGCGCACACAGTCGAAGAACATGCTGCGTGCCCGGTTTCATGCCTTCAAGTTTTCTGGCACAGCCAACGTTAGCTTCGATGTGAAGATTCGCTTCTGCGTGGAGCGCTGTGCGCCCACCAATTGCGTCACTCTCTCCGGCGGCCTCTGGCAGCGACGCAAACGCCAGCTGGAGCGGCCAGAGCGTCAGCTGGAGCAGCTCAGGGTACAGAATCCCGTATATATATCAACAGTTATGGACATGCTGCCCGACGAATTGAACAATACGGCGGCTGCGTCAAAGGCAAATATAACGGCACAGGTGGAGCTGCCACTCAACTATAATCTGCGTGTCCACGGGCCGGATCAGACCAACAGCAATAGCTATCTGTATGGAGAGCGCGGAGTACTGCTCATAGCTGGCATTGATGATCAGCTGCACCTGGACAACATCTGCATCAACCAGAGCCTGCTGATCGCGCTCTTCATTCTCTGGCTGATCTGCCAGGTGGCGTTGCTCTTCGGCTGCGGCATGGTGCTGCAGCGTTACCGGCGGCTGGCCAAGCTGGAGGAAGAGCGTCGGCGGCTGCACGAGGAGTACCTAGAGGCCAGACGCGTACACTGGGCGGATCAAGGCGGATACACACTCTAGTTTGTCGAATTGAGTTTTAAAATACTTTAATTGAGTAAAATTAAGCGAAAGTTATACCTAATATGCCAAAAGCAAGCATTAAGAATTTTTCTTGGGATCGTAGTGCTCCCACTTACGATGATTGAGGGAGTTGAAATCTTTACAGTACAAGGCAATCTGGCGCAGATAATTGGACAGTTTCAATAGCTCCCTGTCTTTGGAGCGGTTTAGGTGAGCCTGACGAAATGGACGTATTTTGAGTCCCGACCTGGGATTCATCATGAAATTCCGGCGTATATCATCGAACATGATCGTGTTTTTGGGGCTGTACTGCTTGTACAGGCCCCATATGACGCCCAAAGGCTTCACATCCACTACGCCGCGTTCCGGCACATGCACAGAGATCATGGCATTCGAGTCGAGGTAGAACATTATCTTATAACTCTCATTGCTAGTGACGCCGAGCAGCTTCATTTTCTCTTCGATCCAGCGCATGCTGGTGGCTGACCAAATAACTATGTCGTAGTTCTCATATGCCGAGGTTAGAAACTCGTGCAAATACGGACGCATCAGTTCCGTGCCCTGCTCTGCTGGAGATCGATGATCGAAGAGTGTGTAGTCTATGTCCAGGACCAGCAAGTTTTTGCCTTCGCGTGGCGGCGACAACTCTGTGATTTTATAATCCCGCAGTCGCCGCTGCACTTTAGCCAGGTACACTGCAGAGTTCTCCACGGAATCATCACGCTCTTCGGCATCATCGAAGTCGTCAATCACCTCCCCGATATCATCGGGCAGGCTACAGGCGTCCTCAATGTCCGCCTCTGTGGACCCTACCATCATCAGCTTGAAATTCGGTTTGAGCTCTAAGGCACACAGCTTAATGTTGTCCGCAGCCGGTTTCCCTACAAGGCGAATAATTATTGCGTGCAATTTGCATTTCAGGTTCTTGTATTACCTTTGTGCTTCAGATTCAAAAGCTTCTGGCGCTCCGGACGCACCTGCGTTTTCCGAAAGATTTCGTGGCGCAGCATTTCAACGGTGTCCTGGTCGGTCAGATCGGATATTGGGTACTCCTTGCCACTCCATTTAAGAACAATAACAATTTCATTAACTTCTGTCATTTTGAATTGTGTTTTTATACAAACGCAGAAAGAAAAAAATAAACTGACAAAGAGAAAATCAGGTTAATACTTTCATTATATTACGCACGCCAATTTTGTATTTCCATACTCACTTTGGCTGGGATGCTGCTTAAACAGATTTACATTTTTTTAATAGAAATAGAGAACTCAAATTCATATCTTATTTTTATTTGCTTGTCAGCTGCTGTGTAATTCGTTCAAACAGCTTTGTTTCCTCAAAAGTAGCATTGAACTAGTTCGTTTTGTATAGCTGCTCAATACTTATCGATAACAAATTCATTTCGTCTATTTTATGGTAAGTCTGAACAACGCCATTTTACACATATCGATGTTTACCCGCGGCATGCAGCCCGGACGGTGGTCGAAACATATTTATTTGAAATTTTTATAGCCAACACAGTAGAAAATTATGTTTTTATATACTTATTTTCAAGCGTGCCGTTACAGCTGAAAAATTATAGTTTAGAAGTAATTTATTTAAGCAATATTCACATTATAAGTAGAAAATTGATAATGAAATCAAAATATTGCAATAATAAAAAAAAAAAAAGAAAAACTAGTAATTTATAAAGGAAGGCCAAACCATTAGTTTGATTTTATTATGAATATATAGCAGATATTAATAATCAAATATGAATTATTAATATTATCAATAAATTATTTAATATTTAATTAGTTTAAATAATTTAAATAACAGTTTTCCGTTAGGAAATAATGTGTAAATATCTAACGATCCAAATAATGGGTATTTATTCACAAGCAACTCATGGTCACACTGGTTTTAAATTGAATGCAGCCCCAATGATCGTTCGGCAACAAAGCGAGTTGTTCTGATTTAGTCGTCTCTCATTCTCTTTCGTAGCTGACGTAAAACTGTAGTAGTCGCTGCGGAGAGCGTGTTTTACAAAAGAAAACCGTTAAAAAAGCTGCAAGCTTACCTTGTCTTGCTCTTTGTGCTGTTGTTTCGTTGGTGAAGTTAGCTTCGTGCTCGTCTCGCTTACCTGTGCAAAGCTGCTGCTGCAGCTTAATCGTGTCTCGGGTCGCACTCAGGCAGATCGTTTGGTTTTCATTCAGTTACGAGTCAAACGCGAAGAAGTGCAAACGTCTCAAGCGGAATATCAAGTTGTATGTAAGAAAGTTGCGAACTGAAAGGAGCTAACGAAGTGAAAGAAAAAGAAAGAGATAGAGATAAAGCAACACGAAGATTACAAAGTTGAATGAAGTTGATATTTGCAAAAATTCGAAATAAATCACGGATCTAACAAGTTCAAAAAAAGCGCGAGACCTGTGCATGCGTATGAGAAATAATTTGCATAAAGCGTAGCCAAGACGCGCTGTTTAATTTAACCCACTTTCTAAACGACAAAAAACAAAAACAAATATAAAATCGAGAAAAATCGACAACAACAACAACAACAAAGCCGAATCAAATTAACAAGCAAATAATATAAGTTTTCAAGTAAAAGAAGAAGAATGTGCCAGTGATATCTACAAACAAATTTGTTTACTTTAATTTTTTTTTACAAATTTTCACATAACATCCACGACAAGTTCTAGGCAAACTAAAACCGGCCTTTGAATAAAAACAAAAGAAACAAGAACTTTAGCAAGAAAAAGTTGACTTTCAGCGCATTGAAATCGATACCGATATCGATATCAATACGGGACTCTACACGCTCCCCGCCAACGTCCGTGAGTCATTCAAAACCGCAGCAAGAAGAACAATAARCACAACAAAATACACAAACAGACAGACAGCAATAGCACTTGCAGGGTATCGAGCGGAGCCGTTGGACTTACACATCCAGCGCCTTAAAACGAGTTAACGCGTGCAATCCAACTACACCAACAACTCCAACAGCAATAGCAACCTGTTGACCAACATTGGCACAAAGTTCATGAAGTCTGAAAAAGGTCTTGACTGAAATTTCATAATCAAACTCTGCTGCCAACAATATTTGTAGGCACTTTCAACGTGCTTCGACTGCCGGTTTCACATTTCAGCTAAAACAAAAGCACATTTACACAGGCACATACATACATACACACAGATACAACGCGTCTAGAATTTCTTGGATACACTTTATTTACCTGGCGGGCGCATTTTTGCGCTCTCAACGCTGACGCTGTAAAATTTTTGGATTTTTTGCACTTTTGGTTAAATATTTTTCTGCCAGTTTGCATAAATACCCAGCAGGTAAGTTGAAATTATGTCTAAAAAAATTATTCATATATGTATATATTTTTTTTTTTTTAATGATAATTTATAAATTTTCCATGGGCATAAAAGCATTTTCTTGTAATTCGTGCTTAAGATTAGAAAAGCTTTGGGGATCAGCGAGCTTAAGAAAATATATCAGCATTGGCGTAAATGCATATCAATCAAACCGATCATTATTAATTACTTTCACAAATAAAATCAACATTAAAAAAAATACATAAATATAGAAATCTGGAACAAACCTGCTTTAAACCTTTTGTGCTTTTAAAAACTATTTGTAGAAAATAATAAATTTCATATAGATAAAATGGTATTTCTTTATTGATAACAATTCAATCATAAAAATAACTTTTACAAAGAGTTTTCTGAGCTCCCCAAAAACTTTTACTAACATCGGAGAACTTTTGTTGCTGTAAGTCAGGTGCAGCAGTTACCTTTAAATGCTTGACCTTTGGCAGTTGCGGTCGCTCAGCATGTGACAGCCATTCAAGCGATGTAGATCCCATTACAAATGCTTATGAATGAAAACATTATAATGGCAGTTGCTTCGGGAGCAACAACATTTAGTTAAAGGTGAAGAATGCCATTGAAAGTTGTGTTTTTTCCCAAAAGGAAAAGAAACTGTCAAACTCCATGGAAAATGTCAAAGCGGACAGCAAAAATTTTGCTACATAAACGAGTTTTTCTAGGCGTTCGCCTTTTGTGCGAAAGATCTCGATGCATCTGGCCAATCATCGGTTTGATCATCATTGATGGATACTTCAACCGCAATACCAACAACAACAATATGCCATATATGTATATATGTATTAACTATTTGCGAGCGAGCAAACCTCAAATGCAATATGTATTTAAATAGCCGACGCTTTCACAAAACGTGTTTATGCGAGGAAAAAAACAAAAGTAAAAAACCAAAAAGCAAAAAGAAATAGCTATAAATTTACATTTAAATTTCTTTAGCGATATTTATAAGTTTCAGACAAACACGTATATAAATATGTATTATTAATATTTTAAAAGGTTAAAAACAAAAACATATGTTTATGTTGCAACAAACAAGCAAATACAACAAAAAGTTCGCCAATGATACCAGAAACTACATTTTGACACGAACTCTTTTCTTTGATATAACAATTTACTAACTGAGATATTTTGGCTGTGATTACGCTGAAGGGGCGCAGAGTGGGTGGATAGGTGGTAGCAGAAGAGTCGTACGCTAAGAGTTACGAAGTCAAATTTCAAGTCAGCTCGGCCCGAAATAATTATGCACAATAAAAACGCCGCAACTTTTCACTTTTCGTTTCTTCTTTTTGTGTTGCGACTTTAAACATTTTCAAATCACGCACTTTAAGTTTTTCATTGTTTATTAAATATTTACATTGTCTGGCTTTGTCGTTTACATAAGCCAATGCTCGTAAATGCAACTCCTGTCTATAATACACATGAGCTGACTTCACAAATTGTTTGTGTGTTTGCTTGAAGACGCGCAGAAAACGCGCGCGTTTTTGGTTTAACCTAATAGCGCAAGCCAAAGCAACGTGAGAAATGCAATTCGCTAAGTGTAAGTGATTTTACCGAATACATTTGATTTGAAGAATAGATTTTCAAATATATGTATTTGCACATAAAATTGCGTTTAGTGTTAATGAAACTTTAAACGAGTTTTTCGGCTGAGTAATTAGGATAGCAAAGTAATTCAGCTTCAAAAAACTATACTTTGATTTTCAATTAATTCAATATGCCTAACTCATTAGACAAGCAGATAACATACATATATCTATATATAAATCGGACAGCGCTTATCAGCGCTAAATAATTGCGAATCAATGCGAATTCGTTTTCATATATGATAATTTCTTTCTCAATAATGTTCGGTTTCCTGTCTCACACTTGTTATTTTTGTGTGTGTGCGTTTTTTTATTATTTTTTATGGACGTGTTGTCTCGCTGACTCTTTGGCAAATAACTCAAAGCCCACAATGACCATTTCATTATTTATGCTGTAAATCATCTGCTTGTTGTACATTTCTTCACATATATATTTTTACATTTTTTTGTATTTGTTTTTCTTGTTGCTTTTTGTGCGTCAAGTTTGGCTCGACAAGCGAGGGAGAAAGTTTTGTTTCTTAGTTTTTTATATACATACATATATGTATGTATACTTTTAGCAAAAACAAAAAACAAAAGTAACGTTAACGTTATAAATTCAAACAAAAGGCAAAATTCCAAAACGCAGCAAAATTTTAAAGTGCGCATGCAAACACGTGATTTATATTTAATATATATACATATATGCATATACAGGGCTTATATAATATACACCTTTTCGAGTTTTTTTTTTTTTTTAAACAAAGTGGCATTAAAAACGCATAACAATYAATTGCCAAAAACAAACAGCGGAAAAAAAATCAGCAAGCGCTGACTACATATTAATCAAAATACCTTAAGCTCCTCACTTGATTGAAAGGTGGAGAACGAAAGGTGAAAATTGCAATTGCTGCTCTTTATTTTTGCGTATCAATATCAATAAATAATTCGAGCTAACTGTTCGTTGGCCCACATGACTTTGAAGAGTTGGCATAAAATTAGTTAATTTATGCCACAAATGTGGGGACACTTTCTACGAACCACACCTTACGACGGGCGACCGACGACTGACGACTGTTGCGTAAGCGATTATAAACGCATGCAAAACGCGTGCAGCAACCGGTGTGGCATAGCTATTGGTCGCTTCGGTTACATCAGCTTAACCCTCAGCTTTCGAGTCGGGGTCAAAGCGGGGGCCTGCACTTAATTATGCATCTATTGATAATGGAAACACTCCCACCATCCTCCAGCCCCCTTCTGCCCCATCTCAGGCCACGCTACACAAAAGAAATGGGGCACTGCATACAAATCAATATGAAATTGTAAATAATTGAGGGAAAACTCTTGCGAGCAGCAGCCCGACGACCCCCATTATTATTATGGCTGCGATTGTCTCTGGGGGCTTATCACTTCAGCTTCAGCTCTGGCACTTAATGCGACCAATGGAAAAATTCTCAATTGCATTGATTCAGTTTTCTTAAAAATCTTCAAGCTGTCTGCTGGCGTATTTCATTCTATTTTTGAAAATAGCTCACGCACTTCATGTACTTCCATTCGGAATGGGGAAATAGTGGTCTTTCTTTTAAATAACTACATATATACATATATATATGTATATATTTTTCAGCCATGCGAGTGAACAATTTCACCTTAAGTTGCGTTTGCAGTCAATAAATAATATTATAACATTTTATATACGTAGCCATTACCAGCTACACTCGAGATGCTCTTCAAGATCTGCGTGCACAGATCTTGGATGTGTATTTGTATTTGTATCTTTGGCTGTGCTGTAGGTGTGTTAATTTTAATTCAATTATATTCAGTAAAAGTTTTACGTTTTTCGGCATGAATGAGAAAATGCCAGGCGGTATAAGAAGAAAAGTGAAAAATGAAAGCGTTCTTAATTGCAAGAGACGCCATTGTAAAACAGTTTCAGTTGCTTCCATTGCCTTTTTCCATTTACTTGTGTAGTTGGTGTAAGTGCATGAAATTTAATATTAAACAGCAAACAAAAACAAGAGAAAACAAACACAATCAAATCGAATTTATTCGCGTAGTTACTTAGGCGAACGCGAGAGGGAACTGCAGCTACAGATGCAGATGCCGATGCAGTCAGAGATACAAATGTATCTGGAGCTAAAGCTGTGATTGCATCTTTCACTCGTGGCAACACTTTCGAGCCGAGCAGACATTTTCCAATGTGCATTGAGTATAATTGAAAAAGTGTAGCAAAGTGTTGCAAACAAAGCAGCCAGGCAATATAAATTGAATTACAATTTCAATTATGAACCGTTAAAAGCGGAAGAAAAGCCGCTGCGGACAATACAATGAATGCCTATTGAGAAAGGCTAGCAACCAGACAAAGCCGGCGCACAACTGTAAATGAGGTTGAGGCAGCATACAGATACATTTACAGATTTAGATACATGCATATATTGAGATACAATCTGAAAGCCACTTCTTAGCATATCAATCAAAAAGAACAGTAAAACCGCTTCGAGCCTCCACTGAAATGCCTGACGATCAGCGGCACTACGAACTCACATCGGATTGAACGTCTCTCGGGTTCAATTTCTCAGATCTCTTGGCTCGCTGTAATGACTGCCTAATGACTCTGTCCGTCCGAGCAGTTGTCGACCCAGCCACATGTGGGTCAACGAATTGTGTCGATAGATACGCATTTGACATAACTGACAGCGGCAGCAAATTGTCATAATTTTGTCCAAAAAAATATTTAAAAAATGAGCTGTCAATTTAGGGCCGCGGCTCCATGGCGAAACACTGTCAGGCGCATCTACTGGGCGCTTACGTAAAGTTTATTGCCTGCACTTCGGTAAGCAACAAAATGTTTGTATCTTTAAGCTGCATGTTTTTTATCGCCGTCGTCTTGCATGGCTGGCCCTAAGAAATCACTTTCAATTTTGGTACCCTGCAAGTGCCAACCGAATGGGCGAGATAGCTGGGATTGGTAATGGAAATAGTAAATGTAAAAGATAAACTTATTGTACTATCTACCTACTCGAAATTCTCATTGCTCTCGCAACTTCTTAACGAAGCTTGCGAGTGAATATAACCAAATATTTGCAGTGCAATCGATTATATTTTAAGCAGGGTATCTGCTAGTCGAACACTTATTGAATACTACTCTTTTATCCATTGGCTTTCGTGTGGTTTGATATTATTTATTGTTGACGTTGGCTAATTGTGAAATGACTTTGAGCCTGGCTAACATATTGACAACTTAGCGGTGCTAAGTTTATTTTTTTGGGTCTTGGCTTTACGAATACCCGCAACCTTGAATTGCGGTTGGCAACTCTCGGCGTGATTTCATCGCCGCTTCACACATCCGAACATTTCACCTACTCACTGGCTCATTATAATTTTCGTCGC